TTTTTGATCCATTAATGGGATCTGCAAGTTCTTGGCCCCAAGAAGTCTTTCAAGTTTACTGGGAACCCTATCATCTTACTGAGAGACAGGAAGATAAGCACGCCTAATTCACCTTCCCCGCATTATTTTTTACCTAAAACATATAAAGCATAGAAGTACAACCCTTCCTTTTAGCTTTTTTCTTTATAAGCAAAGATACTGACGTCTTATTTTTTCCTTCATTGCACATCTCTGAACAGCCACTAAGCCAAACTAAATGTGACACTGAAAGAGAGGAAAACACATGACTTTATAAACCAGCATTAAAAAAACAAAAGAAAAAAATCAGAAAATTCCAATTTTTAATTTTATTTCCTAATTACAGTGATGCACCATTACCTGAAATCTTCTTTATTTTATAAGCACCACGTGCTCTTGAGTAACTCTGCTGCCTAACCTCAACAAGTTACTGAGGGATTCTTCCTAACTTGCAATGTCTTGCTCTATTAGGACTCAGTTTATTGCACACTATAAATTATTTGAAGAGTCTATATGTAATGAAAACGCATGTAGATATTTAATGCTATCCTTCATTTCTTCCACAGGTCCTGCTGCATCCTTCATCCTCCCCAGGAAGCATAACACTGATACCACTTCCAGAACAGCTGGCCAGCAGCACTTCAGCGTTCTCAGTATTCTTTAACTCTTAATGTGAGAACTGTGTGGGACAGGCTGGCTGATGTTGCCTTCTGGCAGTAGAATGACCCAATGAAATGCTGGCCACGGCTCCTGACACTGTTCTCACACACACAGGACTTGATCTGTCTGCAGCTGATGAGCAGATAGAACAGAGCTGTTCTGTCAGACTGCTTTGTACTGGCAACCACTCTGGTCCCTCTCCTCAGGCTGCAAAGCTTTGAAACTGACTTGTGGGCATTCAGGGTTATCAGGACAGTTGCCAGGTAGCAGTTAGCTGCTGTTGGAAGGACAGAGAACCACTCAGCATCACAGAAGTAACAGAAGAGTTGGAGTTTTTTAAACAGTGACCATTCTGCCCAACTGTTTTTCTTTCCTATAAATATAGGAATATTACATATAAAAGGAAGATCAATACTTACTTTCTCTGCATGAAAGTCAGGGCCAGCATTTTGAAAACAGGGTCCTGAATGCTACAGAACAGTAATCCTTAAAAGTAACGGGTTAATATTTAAGGGGTCTGAATTTTAGTGATGCAATTTCATGCCAACATTCAATCACAGCGCCAGGCTGCCCAGAGCTTTGGAGAAACGAATACAGGTATCTTATTTTCAGAAGCTAAGTGTGCCCTAAGAAAATGAGGCAACAGAAGAATAACTCTTTGGGGACAGCACAGCAGCTGGCCCAAGCCAAAACTCACTGCTGCTTGTGGAGGGATTTCAGCCAGTCCAAGACATTTCAAGGCTGTCCCCTGAACATGAAGGATGGATGCAACTACTTCTGTCACTGGCTGTCCGTGACAGGAAGATACAGCAGCCACAGCAGGCCTTTCAGCCAGCTCCCAAACAGCCCAGGTACTGGCAGGGGGTTTCTTCAATGGCACCTTAATCTTGTTCTTTTAAAAAACAAACTGCCTTCAGAACAGGCTAGCACCAGTTATTACATTCATCTTGATACAGCCACCGTGATGGGCACCACAAATTTGGGAATGTACAGAACTGAGTAACAATCAGAAATGCTGAACACAAGTAATTTATCCAGAGACCAACATACGACTAAATGTCCAACACAGAAAAGAGCAAAAATGCCCTCTGCAGTATGGAGCTCTCCCTTACAGACAGCATGAATTCAGCATCCAAAAACTAAGGTAGGCAGCTTTTGCTGAGTAATCCCATTCAGTAACTCAAGAACTGTAAGACAAACCAGAAATAATGACCCACATTGGTCCTACAGCCCCTGTTTAATGAAGGAAGACTTCTCCTTACGCAAATTATTTTTTGTCTGAAGAATATATTGCTTCCTCCCTATTGCTCTGAGGTTACTCAGCAGTTTATAGTACCTGCAACATGGAGGATTTTATTGCTGTTATACTAAAACCTTATTGCTGGAGTTCTCACTGTTTGGAGAAACGGTTAAAATAATACAATTAAAATACAGGCTGTGAGGTTGAATGGATGACTAAAACTACTACAGCAAATTTAATTTCAGGTCAGATACCTTAATAAATAAAAAAGAACTTTAAATCTTGAATATTGACATTATGATGAAACTACTTTACTGTACCCAGCACGGTGAGTTGTGATGCACAGGTGTGCTTCAATGGGACAAAAACAATGACATTCCTGCAAGCTGTCCAGCTTTCTGTCAGTTTCAGAGGTATCTTCACATGGACACTGGCACCAGACCCTAATGATCTGGGGCCTACACTGTTACTGCCTACAAACTCTAACATAAAAGCAGTAAAATACTTAATTTCACGTCTGAAAAGCAGCTGTCTTTCATGCATTTCTTCTTATGGAAGTGAGGTAGGTGGCTTCGTACCCACAGCCCAAGAACTCATTCAGAGGTGCATTTAATAGCATCTCACTACTACCATAAACCGTGCTAGAACTCAATCTGACAGCTATGGACAAACCAAGGTCACTGACTTCCAGAAGGATTTTCTGGCCTATGCTGCCAGAATGTCTCAACTTCAGACCACTTCTCAAAGAGCCAGCACCCTCACTGGCGTCACAGCAGTAGCTCAGGAGGCAAAATCATGTTTCTCACCTGTCTGTGGTGAAAGGTAAACGAGTTACTCATCACATGAGGGCAAATCATGCCCCTGTGAGCCGTTGTTTTTTGTTTTTTTTTGTAACTTCCATAATTAATCCTTCTCTCCTCTTTTTGACTCGAATCATTCCTGAGGAGAGGAGCTTCCAATCACAGGTCTCTGCTCTGGCACAGGGAAAAGGCCAGCTCTCCTAACAGCATTAAACGCCATGGAGGACTTAAGCAGCCTGTGGAGTGAGGAAGATGACAAGGAGCAGTGTGAAAGAGGGGATGACATGATTTCCCTCTGTGCTGTTGTTTTTTGGGTTTTTTTTCTAACTTCCCTGCCACCCAGGTGTTGCAGAGAGAAAAACACTCGTGCCTGCAAGGCAATGTGAGGAGATGAGAACAGGTCTGCTTAAACAGCAGAACGGCTGCCCTAGGGACTGAATTACGGTCACAGTTGTAGCTGCTCATCCTCACCACACTTCCTCAGCAGTTTGATTCAGAGGAACAAAAAGAAATAGAAAACAGCAAAAGGAGGGGGCTAGATGTATCGCTTTAGTGTATCTCAGCTGTCGTCTTAAGAAGTGCCACTCTATATTATTCAGCCTCTCTACGTTATTCAGTTCATGCCTTCTACCCCCATTTAATCTCAGTACTTTGCATACTTGCAAAACCGCACTCATACATAGCGTGGGTATTTATGACCTGATTATTTCTTCTACAAAAATCTGTAATAAAAAAGGAACCTGACGACTGCAACATCATGAGCATTCCTAAGCAGATAAAGAACACCAACACCCTACACAGAGTAGGGACCACATCCTAACTGTGTTGAGAATCTGTAAATGGCAGTGAAGCCAAAGGAGCTGCGAGTTCACAGCTCTACAGACCATGCCACAATTACCAAACTAATCAGCTTGCAAAGAAAGAGCCAAATATCGTGAAGGTTGAAGCAGGTAGATAATGGAATTTGAACCCAGCATTGCAACTCAATTATTGCTCATAAAACCTCTACAGAGCCTTGTTTGTAGACAATTCATTCACATTTGAGATTCAGCACTGCGTACAGCATATGATTCTTAACGTCACAGAAAGCTACAGTCATCCAAACATCCATGTGAAAAGGACAGGTTCCATTTGGAAAAATCCAGACCAGCAACACAGTTGTCTCTACTATTTATACTACACAGGTATATTATTTCATTGAACTGTAAATATTGCTGATTTTACACTCGAGATTTTTTGTTTTAACTGCAATTGAAGACACTGAAGCAACAATACAGTATGCCGACTGCGACATTCAAGGGAACATAACCTCCTACTGATGTCAGGGCATTAACACATGGAGCTCCCATGAACGCCAGTGCAAGGAGCTCCCATTAACTCCTATGCACTGACATTGGAATAGACAATGAACTTCATAAATCTCCCAGAAAGATTTCCTCTCTGACAATCAAGTCTTGAAATTAGAAAGCAATGTTTTATTTCTATTGCTTTCTAATGCGGCTCCAGTAAAAGGTAAGAAATAGCTTTTAAACTTAACCATTCATGAGAGGGAGCTCTGCTTTTTAGACCAGAACTATCATCTTATAATGAAGAGAACTGACATGCATACAGCGAGAAGAACCCCAATCTGTAACGGACAAAACTGCCAGAAAGGGAGACAATTTTGATTCAAGTTGCAGTTCTGGTTGCATACAATTATGAACCAGGTACGCTCCGAGAATTTATAAATTTCTACATTTTAAATTACAGCAGAATAGTGAAAACATGTGGCAATCGTTTTGACTTAGTAACAAACTTTCATGTAGATCCAAAATATTAGGTTATTCCATTTGATATTTCACTACAGAAAGACAAAACTTGTCTGAGACACATCAAAGTGTTGCATTTGTTACAAATGCAGCCAGAAGAGACCATGTTGATTCATCAACTTCAAAACTCCCCAGTGAGTTCTTTTAAAGTTAATAATATAATGAGGCCTGATGTCCCACACTTAAGAGAAAACATCGGCCTGACTTCTGAGTAAGAAGGCAAAGCCCATCTTCTGTTTCAATATCCAGCCAGAACTCGGTAGAGAAGTGGAAGTCTATAAAAATAATGAGCAACTTAATTCATGCAGAGATGTGAAATAAAAGCTATGCAAGTACTTCCTCACTCACAGCAAATTCATTGCACTGAGATTATCACAATAAATACTAGATAAATCAGTACAATTGGCCATTATTTTGAAGAGCATTCTCATGATATAAAAATGGGTTTGTGGGAACAGGGCAGTGGTTTTTTCCTTCTTTTATTTTTTTTTCCTACTGTTTTAATAAGAATTAAGAGGGGAAACATATCCTGACAACAGACTGTAACATGCAGTATGGCTGAACTCAATCACATAAACAATTTCAAATGAGGTATGCTGTTTAAATCCATTTTTAATTAGCAAACTTAATGTAAAATCGTGGCAAGCATGGCAAAGTCTAGATTATATATTTATAACAAAAAGACCCTGAGCAACATCATAAATCTGTAAGAACACCGATTATTTTGATTTTGGAAAGCTCCCTTTTAAACCATTTGCTTCATTTTGGTCACTGGGGTTTGCTGTTCACAAAAGGTCAGCACGTCCTGTGGCTCTGACTGGAACCCACCACACGCCTCTTAATGAATGCATCTAAACCAAAGACACGGTCACAGGGATGGCTGGGAAGGAAGGTGTTAAGGAGCGTCCTGCTGGCCGCCAGTCAGACATCGCTGGGCGATCTCGCTCTCTGAGACAGGTTAGAAGGAATGCAGCCACAGCAGACGAGCCACAGCGCTTTCTGTATCTCCTGGTTTCTAAAAGCATATATTACAGGGTTGATGATGGAATTGTAGGTAGCAGGCAGGAGGGTGGCATAGGTATATATAGAAGGATAGGTGTAATCTGCTATTAAAGAATAGAGCGTAAAAGGCATCCAGCAAGCCGCGAAAGTCCCCAAAATAATGGCCAAAGTAGACACTCCTTTTCGGGTGGTGACATAGTGGGAAGTGGCCAGGAAATGGTGCTGCAAGGCAATCTGATGGGCATGGCGCATCACGATTTTACAGATCTGAATGTAGAGCTGCAGCATGAGGGCAAACATAAGCAAGAAGGAGACCGAGAGGACCGCCGCGTTATTTTTAGTGAGCGGTCTGATAACACTGCAGGTGGATTCATCTCTGAGGCAGTTCCAGCCCATCACAGGCAGCAGTCCGATACAGATAGCTGCTCCCCACAGCAGTACAAGCATGACATAGGTAAAAGTGACAGTCCTCTCCGAATTGTAAGTCAAAGCGTAATACAAGGAAAGGTACCGATCGACAGTGATAGCCAGCAAGCTGCCAACGGACGCGGAGAAAGAGGCAACAATGAGTCCAACCGTCACCAGTTTGGTGGCTTCCGAGCGCAGCAGGTACGCAAACACGAAATTGACGATAAGTCCGATCCCCGCCAGGAGGTCCGCCAGCGCCAGGCTGCCTATCAGCAGGAACATGGGCGCGCGGAGGCTGGGGTTATGGAAAATGATAAGCACCACCACGGCATTCTCGCAGGAGATGAGGGTCCCCGAGGTGCACAGGACAATGTCCCAGGAGTTCACCCAGAGCTCTGGCTCCGGCTCTACCACGGGAACCAGGGAGGAGCCCGAGGCGTTCTCGATAGAGCCGGCTTCTACGCGGTCCTGAGGCAGCCAGCTCGCATTGACCGTCGGCTCTTCATTCATTTTAACCCCGGTTCTTCAACGGAAAGACAGGGTTTTACCGCCCGCACGCAGCGCTGCAGGCAGCGCCCCGAGAGCGCAGCGCCCCGGGCGGCACCGCCTGCCGGGAGGGCTCTCGTTACATAAACGGCACCGCAGACGGAGGTGGGTACCCGGAGCACCGAGCCCTGCTGAGGGAAAGGCGCCACAGCGCGACCCCCCGCCCCGCAGCGCCGCTGTGCCGCAGCCGCGGTGAGCGTTACGGGTGAGGGGGCGACGGTCCTTCCCCGACCCCCTGTGAGCAAAGCCCCGCCCGGGGTGGGGGGCTGAGGTCCTCCGAGGGCTCACAAACTCCGCGCGGGCACCGCAACCCCCAGGCAGCCCCCCCCCGCCACGCACACACCTGGGCTGTCCCGGAGGACGAGGCTCGCAGGGTCCCTCCGAGGCGGCCGCCCTCCACCACTCGGCGCCAGGGGCCGAGGGCGCAGCGCAGGTGCGCGCGCTCGCCCCCCCCCCCCCCTCTCCCCTTCTCCTGCGCGCGCAGCGGTTCGGGTGAGAAGAGGAGAGGAAAGGGGAAGGCGGCGCGCGCGCGGCCACGTGGGCTCTGCGCGGGAACGGGGGTTCGCCTCGTGCTCGCGCGCCTGCGCAGATGCCTCCTGCTGCGAGGCGGGAGGGAGCGGGTGGGGGTTCAGGGTTTGGTCGGCTACGTACTAGAGGTCCTCGTGCATGGCTGTAACAAAGACAGCCTCCCTGTGATACAGGGAGAGCCGTGAACAGGAACAAGGATGTGACGTTGGGGGTATGGAGTAGGCAGTGAGGTGGGCTGAGAACTGGCTGACTGGCAGAACTCAGGAGGTTGCCGTCAGCGGCACAGAGTCTAGTTGGAGACCTGTAGCTGTGGGCTTTCCTTTAGGTCAGGGCAGGCTCTGTTCAACATGTTGTTGAATATGTTGTTGTTTTTGTTTGACATGTTCATCAGTGACATGCTCGAAGGGATAGAGTTCACCCACAGCAGGTTTGCTGATGATACAAAGCTAGAAGGCTGTGTTGCCATTCAGCAAGACCTGGACAGACTGGAGAGTTAGGTAAAGAGGAGAAGGGCAACAAGGGCAAAGGGGGAGGAAAAACCACATGTGCCAGTACAGGTTGATGGCTGACCTGCTGAAAAGGAGCTCTGCAGAGGAGGACCTGGTGTTCTGTTGGGCAGCAGGTTGGCCATGAGCCAGCAGTGTGCCCTTGTGGCCAAGTGGGATCCTGGGGTGCATTACAAAGAGTGTGGCCAGCAGGTGCAGGGAGGTGATTCTGCTCCTCTACACTGCCATGGTGAGGCCACATCAGGAGTGCTGTGTCCAGTTCTGGGCTCCCCAGTTCAAGAAAGACAGGGAACTACTGGAGAGAATCGAATTGAGGACCACAAAGATGACTGGGGCTTAGAGCATCTCCCTTATGGGAAAAGGCTGAGAGAGCTGGGGCTGTTCAGCCTGCAGAAGAGAAGACAGAGGGGATCTCTGCTGTTCATAAATACCTGAGGAGTGAGAGTCAAATGGTTGAAGCGAGGCTTCTTTCAGTGGTATATGGTGACAGAGCAAGGGTAAATAGGCAAAAACTGGGATGCAAGAAGTTACATACAGACATGCAAAAGAACTTCTCTACTGTAAGGGTGACAGAGCACTGAAACAGGTTGCCCACAGAAGTGGTGGAGCCTTCTTCTCTGGTGATATTCAAAACCTGTTTGAATGCTTTCCTGCTCAGCCTGTGTTAGCAGGGAACTTGCTTTAGCAGGGGTTGTACTGGATGATCTCCAGAGGTTCCTTCCAAGCCCTATGATTCTGTGTTACCTCTGGTCAGGGCACTGATGAGATTAGTATTTGAAAGCTGGATACACTTTTTTTTTTTTTTTTTTTTTTTTTTAAATATACTGAGAAAGAAGAGAGAATTCGGAGAAAAGTCACAGACATGGCATTGAAGACCTGAGAAATTGCGTCATAGTGATGGATTTATAGAAGTTACTCTTTTCAGTTTCTCTAGGAGAAAATTAAGGGACGACTGGATTAGAGCATTCTTTCACCAGGATTTTGTACGCCTCTAACAGAAAAGGGTATAATGCCTGGAAGCCAGTTAGAGAAGTTCAGATTCAAAATCAAACACATTTAATAGCAAGATAATTAATCACTGGAGCAGTGCATCCAGCACAAATGATTTTGTCTTAATACCTTTTAGGAAGATGTCTTTATGAAATAAAAGTTCTACGTGTGCAAATGCCAGAGTAAAAACTGTGCCCCAAATTAGTAACACCTGATTTTTATTTCTTTATAGGTTATGATAGCAGGGAAAATTTTCTCTTAACTCACAGTTCATTCTCTTCAGGTAAAAGACCATGATGGTCTTAGATGTTTGGAAGCTATTCCTTCTCGCTTGGGTGCCAACTGCTTTTAATAGCCATGGTTAGCATAAGGCATCCTCTGTCAGAGAACTCTATCTTACCTAATAATTGGTTCAATGTTTGGAATCTTCAAAAGTATCTGACTTGGGGATATGTTTTCCTGAATGTACGTCTATTTTAAATTTTTTTAACCACTGTTTCTCTTTTCTACTTCCTTTAACAAAGCACATGTGTACATTAAATAACTATTTTGCTCCTCTTTTTTTGATTTGTCATGGTTGGATTATTCTGGAACTGGGTACAGTGCACATTGTTTATGCTTCTGTGCATCTTTCATCTATTTTTTGCTACATCTACAACAAGTGCTTTCATGCCAGTCTTCGATTACTGATTACGAATAAAGCTTGAGATGCACGGGGTATGCAGTGAGCTTCTTCAGGCCACCACAAAATACATTAAGTTCTTCAAAGGACCACAGAGGACGTTGGTTCTGTGCTCACTTCTCAGGCTTTTTAAACCAGAAAACAAGACATACATAATAAAAATACTAAAAGGTGTATGTTATCATGGCAAAAGTTTGTACTGTGAATCATTATACTGAACAGGCTTAGGTGGAAAGGCTGGCTTCCAGCTATATTTGGTTGCTCTGTTTGCTGGCAGAGTAATCTCTCAAAGCTGAAAGTGATTCAAGGTGTGTTGATAATTCTAGGTATTTAAAATGAGATAATGGGCATCCTGAGTATTAAAAGCATGGAAAATATTTCTGAGAATGTTTCTGAAAGGTTCAGTTATAATAGAGGAGGCGACCAAGTTCCCTGACAGAAACCTGTCTATACTTCTACATCATATATATATGATGATTTAAATTATGAAGCTTGTATCTTGGTGGAAATTGTGATAACGATGCTTAAAGGTATGTTATCACACCTGAATGCTGGAGCTGGCTACTACTGGAGGCAATATTTTCATGATTTTCTTAACCAACTATGTAACCTCTACGGTAGGCGAAAGAGAGAAACAAGAGAAAAAGATGCGTGAGCTTGCACACATTCATAATCTGAGCACTATAGACCTGAAGCTGCTATAAAGCTCACAAATGTCTTTTCCCAAGTGGAATGTACTGCAATACACAGCAGCGAAATTAGCTGTTAGGAGGTTGGATGGATGGATGGATGGATGGATGGATGGACGGACGGACAGATGGTCCAACAAGATGCTCTCATTGTGCAGAAACACTGAAGTTATTGTTTATTGACTGCTTTCTGTGATGTGAACTGACGTCTTTCAGTGAGAGAGTTCTAACTGTCAGCTTGCTTGGTGGCCAAATAAACTGAATAGAAGGGTTTGACTTCCTCTTTTGTGTCAGAGGAAACTATATCTCAGCAATTCTCGACATCCACCATATTTTTCAAGAATTATTACCTTCATGAAAATGGTGCTGCACTTTAATCCATGTTATCAAATGAAGTTAAAATGTAGTTCAGGAGGAATCCACTGGAAAGGAAACATTTGCAGCTCTGCTATGAGATAATCTCTGAATGGAAACACCTTTCCGAATTGGTGCCTCTCACGCTTCAAATATAAGGTGCTCTTTTTCTCTTCCAAAGCTCCTCAGGAGATATTTGATATTGAGAAGTATTCATCATTGGCTATTTTGAATCCCGTTTGAAGGAACCATGTTGACAGATTTATTAAACATAAGGAGTATTCAAATAAGTCTTACAGAGGTCAGACTTGTTGGTCCAAAGATTTCTCTTGGCCTTAAGTGCTAAGAGACTCAAAGATTTCTGAGTTTTATTTGATGTTTGTTCTGAGTGCTACTTTTATCTGCATCCACTTGGTAAATAGCTGAATATGCTTTGTAGGCTTTACTTCAGTATGCCATACTCCCAGAAGTGTTCTTATTTTCTATAGAAAAGAGGTACATTCACATAATTAATGCGACACCCCATAAAATACCATCTTCAGAACCCTCCCTGCTTCTCTGACTGCTTTTACTATATTTGGCTAGTACACACCAAATTAATACTCAAACAAAACTGTTACTGATGGCACAGTACATTAGACAGAGCTCGGTATCAGTGACAAAAGGCCAAGCATCATCACATGAACTTTTAATTTTTAATTACTTCCAGAATCTCTCTCAAAGGTAAAGGTGTGATGACAAGAGCTGTGTTTCCTATTGGCTCATTTCCAATCTGATGTGAAACGGCGAGTAATAGAATAAAGATCCTAATGTACTTTCCACTGATGTTCTGACCATGACGCCCTTCTGTTTGAATCCCTAGCTAAATGCACTTATTTTCCCCTTTAAAATACACTGAATTCCACCTGCCCTACAATACTCTGAATCCACTCATTTCTGCCATCCTTTTTTATACATTAACTCTTGGCCTCCCCACACTATCCAAACACCCACTGGTGTTTGCTGAAGAACTGCATACGCATGAAATACACTGCTGAGCTCAAGTGTTCAACTGTAATTGTACTGTTATATTGATAATGAATGACTTATGCTGAATTTCCATGCGATTGCAGAACTACTGAAACTTCAAGGGCTAGGTTTGTTGATGCGTTTTCCTTTGGAATGTCCACCTCAAATAATAAGCACTTTACTGAAGTATTTTTTAACTTACAGGCATATAGTAATCAAATGATTGAACTTGGCATTTAAACTATAAGCTGCAGAAATCTCTGGAGTAATTACTGTTTCGAAAAGAGCAAGAAAATGACTTTAATAACTCTAGGGCTAACTATAGCCTATGATGAATTATAAACTAGATCATAGGCTTCTAGTATTTTACTATCTGGACAGTGACCCAGAACAACCTCTTTCTGTGGCCATAAAAGTGATTAATTTTCACAGCTCGTTCATCCATGGAAAAATTTTCAGCTAAGATGACCAGTCTCTGTAATGAGAGTGATTTTAAGTAAACCATTTCTGGGGTTCACAGAGAATCTACTAAAAAAGCTATTATTTGTAACCAGTGCCCATTCATACAGTGGAATTTATATGCACACATGCTAATTGTGCATTTACTTGCATTTTTGGCTTAGTGATCATGCTGATGTATCTTTTTTTTTTAATACTAGCAAGAGATCTCATTTAAATTTTAAAAAGCTTTGAATTGGGGATTTTAAATTATGTATATTAGAGTTGAAATTAGAGCTTCAAAATTGCATGCTTATTAGCAGCTGTTGTCTAAAAATTAGTGCATGGTCATAACTCTGGGGAGTTGTTACAACACTGGTGTTTCCCGAAATGTCAAATGCTTTATAC